CACTGGCCCCTACAGAGAGCTCTGGCAGAGAGCCCACAGAGCGCCTGCATGCCCAGGAATCTCCTGGAAACTCTATTTTGACAAATATTTAAGTTCTTCCAAAACGGACCACAGCCCTTGCATGGACTTTACACTCTTTAGTGGTGGGTTACAGTGCTGAAGACATTAATATTCCTGCTGCAGTCAGTGAGAGGCAATTTAGGCAGTGCAGTAGTAGACAAGATTGCACCTTGTTACTTTTTGAAAAATAATAGCATTTTTTTCCTTTTTTCCTTCATTTTGAGGGGAAGAACAGAAAATGGCCACAGTTCTTGCAGATAATATATTATTCATAGACCTTCAAATATAATCCCCGAAGTATAAATAATAGAGATTTGTATATTGACTAGAGCATCTGTGTACAGGCTAGAAACTTTTATGCAAACAAGAGTATGGGAGCAGCATCAACAGCAGTGGTTTTAAAGAAATTTTACCAGTTCTCATTAATGTGGCTGATATCTTGCTACCAGGCTGCTCAGTAAGTTGTGATGGTAACTATGTGTTTCCAAACTGCCCCTCTCCCATTTTATCGACCACAGAAGGGACAGGGAAATCAGGAGCTGTGACCCACTGCCTACTTATTATTTTGTGTGCAGTCATAGTCAGTAACACAAAGGAGTGTATTGCCATATGCGCTGCCAAAGTTGTTTGAAAGGCGTGTGGTTCTCTGCAAAGAAAAGCTTCCTTGCACCTGCATTTCAAATAGCAAATTTGCTTTGTCCTTTGTAGTATTCTGGAAAAACCTTCCATAGGTCATCAAGACCCAGTTTGTATAAGAACGAAGCAGCATGACATTGCAACACATTGCTTCTGGCAGCATTACACTCTAGCACTGGCAATTGAGCAACAGAGGCTCTTATCATAGACTATATCTTATTTTACAGATACAACAGTAGGTTTAACACAATGCCTTTGTAAAATGCCAGCCTTAGGGTACTTTAGTCCCACTAAACCACGAGGATACACAGATTCTGAGGTGGCTAAACCTGTGGATTTTCCAGCACAGCTCACCTTTGCAGGGGGCAGCATGTCTGTGGGTTTGTATTGTGCATGCTTGTTCTGCTGTACCTTAAAGAACCTTGCAAAGTCCTGTTAGCAAGCACCGGGTTTTTGGCTGTGTATTTATTTTGAGAAAAGGTTGCTCACTGTTGGGTTTTGATATATGCAGCTTGTCCCAGATGGGGTGAATGGCGAGTGGATGTTCCCTGGCTCCGAAGGGGTCAGAGTGACACTGCAACTTTACGGCTGTGGTGGCAGCGATTATTCTGTATGTGCTCCTCTGTCTGTAACACAACACAATAAAAGGCAAGATGCATTATAGTCTTTGCTGTGCTTTGTTGCAGATTTGAAAAGTGGTACTGCTTATGCATTAACAAATATCTGATCTCTAATTAGGTGGAAAATCCACAGAGGAAAAAAGTGCTATTTTGAGTATGAAAATAAAGAACTTGTATTTGGGCTAAATTTATGATTGTGTTCGTATTTGCTGAAGTACAAAATCGAACTCACTCTTATTTGAAATTAAAAGTACTGTAATGATTTTTGTGAGCTTTTTAAGGACCCTATATTCTCTACTTGATGGCTGTGATAAACCTCCTTACAACTGCTATGAAGAAAGAAATTGAGTTAGATAGTTTTAATTTATTACTGCTCGTGAAGTTCATTTAAATTCAGAACCCTCTTGAGTCTCTACGGAAGAAACCCTGTATTTTACAAAAGGGTTTGATTGCAGGAGTCCTGTGTTCCCACATGCTGCTTCCAGCACTGCTCTGCTGCGGAGCGAGGGCCGATCTCACCCCCTTTGGAAACAAAGCTGTGCCTCTTCTTGTGGTGCAGCGCTGCTGCAGGCAGCCCTGGGCAGATGGCATCTGTACACCAGGTGGAGTGCGAGTGGTAAAGGTGCACAGCCAAGTCTATAAAGAAATGGTGTAATCATGTCAGTGTGGTGCTCTCTGTGCTAGCTCCACACCTCTAGAACTTCTCGTTCCTGATCTAATGCCTTCTTCTAATACCCAATCTAATGCCATAATTCTGTGTGTACTCTAACTCAGTAATTTTGAGCCGAGTCTCAGGACACCTCTCTGAAGACATCTCTGGATTTCATTCTGAAAAACAGGAGTACAACTTACCTTGCTTGTAATGAAGATTCCTGTTGGGTAATATCAAAGCTAAGTAGTATTATTGCTACCTGAATCTGGCTAGCGTATGGGCTGGTGTTCCTTGCCCCTGTTTTTGTGTGGGATACTCCAAGAGCCCCTTGGATAACCTCTCCAGCCAGAACTCTCACATTTAGAAATCAGTGATGTCTTTGTACCCAGAGCCAGTCTGTAGGTAACTCCTGAGTGACCCGAGCATCCCATATGCATTCCCCATTTCCTAAGTAATAGTTATATAGTGTGTAGGCAGTTCCCTTTAGAGCAGCCATGGGTTTTCTGTGCCCCTCCTTTGCCTGCCCAGGCTGGTGCCCAAAGCCAAGGCCTCCTCCTGCAGCAGTGGGGCTTGGGGAGGGGGCTGGTGCAGCTGTTTGCTACCAGAGGACACATCTCACCCTGCTGAGGGAAGGCACTTGCTGTGCTGAGGGAGGCTGACAGAAATTCTGGTTTAGTTTAAAGGTGATTTAAAAGAAAAAAGGCTCTGAGGCTGTCATGCCTCTCCCAAGGAAGGGAAGCACATAGGATGGGTTTTTTAGTCTGCCTTTGCCTCTCTCGGCTAAAACAATGTTCTGCTTAATCCTTCCCTGGCCAGGAGGCACTGAGTGAGGGAAAAGGGGAGCAAGCCTGGGGCAGGAAAGAGATACCTGCCTTCTGCAGCCTGGCTGAGTCCAGGCAAATCAGTGCTCCTGGCTGAGAAACCAGAGCTGCAGCCCTAAGGATGTATCTGCTGTGTGTGGCAAGCAGAGGCTGCAATCCTTTTGAATGAGGGCAGCGCTGCAGACAAACCCAGCACAGTGGTTTCAGGGATGGCATTTGAAACAGGGAGCACAGAGATGCTGTGCACGCTGATGCAAAGGAAGGGATTATTTCCCCCCTCTCATCAAGCATGGCATGTGAATTTACCAAGCTTTCCAGAACCTGATTTGAGAGCTGTGCAATGAAATGCGGATGAAAGAGGTGGTTGTGAATAACCCATGTTGCTCAGCTGGAGCTGGGCAGAACACGGAGAGTCTCAGGGAGGCTTTGTGCTGCACTTGTTCCCAAAGAAAATACAGAGGACCTGGAAGCATCTTTTGCAAACTGGTACTTGCTGATTTGAAAATTAAGGGGAAACTGATTTGCAGGTGTTTTTACTAACCAAGGAGAAAGTCAGCACTCACTTCAAGAGTGTTCTTGGCAGCAAAAGTTAAATAGAGGTGGAAAACTAATATAAATTGCAAATAAATATGTATGTCTAATATGTATGTATGTATGTATAAAATATTTAGCTTCATTTTTGCTCCAGTAAACATCTTGAATGAATAATTTCTGACAGTGATGGATGAAGAAGGATGAGTCCGTCTGCTAAACTTCTGAAAAGACACCATGCCTTTAGCAGACCTTGAACAGAACCTGGGGGTCTGCTCAGAACATGCACTCAGCATCTCTGCATCTCTGCATGGGCAAAGGAAGGAAATAATTTGTCCCCCCATATGCTCATGATAATTTGTTGGCTGCTGGAAATGGATCCCACACTAGAAAGGCCTTTGGTCTAACCCACTGCAGACAAGCTTATGAGCTTATGTTATATTCTCTCTGTAAATGACTTGAAAAGAAGCTGAAGTGATTCACTTCCTTCCCTGAGCTGCAGAGGGGAGGAATGAGAAACACAAGGAGGCTGTTAGAAAACCTCTTCATCATTCACATAATTCCTGGGGAGACTGAAGCACACAGTAAGCTTTACCAGAGCCCACTTGCCTCAGACCTGTCTTACACACTCTATCCCTGAGCTCGCAAAGGGGAGACAACTGGATCGCTGATACGTGGACTTGCAGTTGGCTGTTGAGCTCAAAGGTGATGGAGAAGAAAGGCAGAACCATAAGGACCCATTGCAACAGAGAGCAGCCATCCATAATGGAGCTTTATCACAGAATCACAGAATATTAGGAGCTGGAAGGGACCTCAAAAGGTCATCCAGTCCAACCCCCCTGCCAGAGCAGGATCACCCAGACCAGGTCACACAGGTTATACAGTGAGGAACCCCGAGTGTCCACTTGCTCTACTGTGTGTAAACAGGGCCCTGTCCTT